TTGCTTATTTGAAGGATAGATTGTGGAAGAAGCTTAATGGATGGAGAGGAAGTCTGTTGAGTAGCGCGAGGAAGGAAATTCTGATAAAAACAGTGGCACAAGCTGTGCTGTTGTACACCATGCAAACTTTTTTACTCCCTAAAACTCTATGCAATGAGCTAAGTCAAATGGTAGCTCAGTTTTGGTGGGGGCATGAATTGGGTAAACGTCAAATCCATTTGATGAAGTGGAGTAAAATGTGTAAACCGAAAAGTGAGGGGGGTTGGGGTTGGTGTTTAAGGATCTATACACTTTTAACCTTGCTTTACTTGCTAAGCAAGGATGGCGTTTAATCCAGCACCCTGAGTCCCTTGCTGCCCATATTTTCAAAGCAAAGTACTTTCCAACTACGGACTTCTTACAAGTTTCGGTAAGATCAAATGCATCTTTTTGTTGGAGAAGTGTGGCAGAAGCACGCGTGGTACTTCAGCGAGGTGCTAGATGGAGAGTTGGGGATGGTATAAAAATTAAAATCTGGAGGGATAGTTGGCTGCCTAGAGAGGGCTTCTTTAAAGTCTTAAGCCCTATTCTTACTGGAGTGGAGCACGATAGTACATTGGATAACTTGCTAGTGGATAACAGTAGTCTTCAATGGAATTAGGAGTTAATTAATAGTATATTCTACGAAGAGGAGGCAAAACTGATTCAAGGTATCCCCTTGAGTTATTTCAAACCACCAGATCGGTTGATTTGGGTGGCGGGGAATGATGGTTTATTCTCAACAAAAAGTGCATATTTGGTAGCCCGGTCAGGAGGATGTGTGTGTGTGTGTGGGGGGGGGGGATGAGACTACGAGTTCTGAAATGCATGGGGAATTGAAACATATGTGGAAAGCTTTGTGGAGAGCGGGTGTACCTGAAAAGGTGAAGATATGTGTCTGGCGGTGCTATTTAAATGCTTTACCAACACGAGAAAATTTGTTGCGACGTAAAGTGATCACAAATGCTGCTTGCCCATTCCAGAAAATGTGGAGCATGCGTTTCTAAACTGCTCGAGATCATCGTCATTATGGTTTACTAGCCTTTTGGGTTTGAGGACAAACCGACAAATCCATTGAGGTTTCCGTATGTGGTTGGTGGAGATGGCGAGGTTACTTGCATGACAAAGCTTTGAACTACTTTTGATTTTGATATGGAGTATCTAGAAAGAACGCAATTCTTTTTTATAGAATGGTAGGGCTTTGAATAAGGTGGAAATGGTTTGTAAGTCTCAAGCGTGGTTGCAGGAATATAGGAAATGGCATGCCTCATCACAGGGTAGCAGGCGAACAACCTCTCAAAAATGGGAGAGACCTGGTGTGGGTTAAGTCAAATGTAATTTCGATGGTGCATGAGATGAGATAGGTGAACGAGGGGGTGTTGGGCTCGTGGTGCGCAATGCGAAGGGGGATTTTGTTGCAGCTACAACTTTGCATTTCAGCGGGGATCAGCTCGGCAATTTTGGCTGAGATTTGGCTGCTCGAGCAGCAGTCTTATTTGCACGCACTCTGGATGCAAGGCAAATGCACTGATGGTTGTCAATGCTTTGCAGAGTGACATGACAGCCCTTGTCCATGGTATGTTTGGTAACGTTGTCCTGGATGCAAGGCAAATGCTACAGTCTTTTCAGCATTGGAAGGTTGTGTTTGGTTGACGGGAGACGAACAAGGTTGCAAATCGGCTCACAAGATTGGGTTTCACTTTAGCTAGTCCTATTTCTTGGTTTGAAGAACCACCTGATGTAATTTCTGATTTACTTTTTGAGGATATTATTACTAGTTAAAGGTCGGGATGCTCTTTTTCCCTTGAATCGGGTTGAAAGCCCCGACAAGGTTTTTATCGAGGCCCACTATTAGCACCCTATCCTCGTGTTTGTACGATGCCTTCACATTTGTGCAATATCGTACTTCTTTCAAAAGAAATAAAATAACAATTCTTTTCATTCATATCCACTTTAGATGAACATAGTAGTTTAAATACACAAAAGAATAGCTAGGATTAAGTAGTCTTAGTGGGCTTAGCATTAGCAATGGGCCTAATAAATACTAGTAACCCATGGTGGCCCAAAGGGTCCTAACAATCCCGCCCGCTTAAAATAATGCAAGTCCTCAAGCTATAATTGTAGTAGTTGCTAACTTTGACCGAATGTGCTCCGTCTCTTTCCAAGTTACACCTACTCCAAGCAATCTGGCAAGTTGGCATGTAGTGGTGTGTCTCTGCTAGTTCTCCTAGCTATGAGTCATGAGGTCCTCAAATATTATCACGATAGATGCCCCCAAAACAAGTGCAGTATAAGTCTCCAAATAGACCACAATTCTAGCAAGCATGTAATATAGCCAATTTTTGTCAAACAATAAATCCAAAGAATCAGAGGACCGTTAATACGTGGAGAAAATGGTCGGCCACTGGTGGAATTGGAATACAGAAAAGCTGACACCATGATGCCATATCAGAAAGTGACTTGTGGCAGCCATAAGCCTTCCTGCCAAAAATACTTTCCAGCTTATACCTTGAAAAGAGCGCTAAAGCCACACACATCACCGCATGCGTGCAGAATCTCATCAGTTATCACGTGCACATGCACAATAAACATTAGGAATCCATAATAGCTTTTGGGCCTGATCTGTGTTGTGTTCTCATCATCTGTTCCTTTACTGTATTATTCTGTTTGTGGCCTACCGCCTACTTTATATTTTTTTGACCTTTTTCCGTTGTAGATGTAGTTGTCATGTTGTAATATATATGATTATGCTAACTTCGCCCAACATGCTTAACAGGCTCTCATTGATACCACTGATCGTGAAATTTATGAGTGTTTGACATGTTGCTATGTCGAGAACTATGAGAAAGGAAAAGGGGCTGTTGGCACTCAGCTAGTGGGTGAGAGGGCACAAATTATTCTGGATGAAGTGAGAGACTTCAAACTTTTCACTCGTCATGAATGTCTAGAGCACATTGGTACTTACTGTTGCTTATCATGGTCTTTCAAATCTGACTAAAATAGTAACCATTTGTATTGATTCCTTCTATCGTTATTAGGAGAGCACTTCCAACCTCTTATGGGTGGATTGGAGAATGAAAGACCTTCAGTTGTAAGTCCTGTTCTACCAACTTTGACTCGTTTTGGTCCTTCAACGGAGTTGGGGAAAGAAAGCTACTTTACCAATAGGGTGGGTTGTTCGGCTGCTTATATCTGACTGTTCTCATATGTAGGTGGGGGATGCTGTTATAATGAATTACTTATTGGTCCACCTTAATAAGGCTCATGACAAATTCAATCTGCTCATGTTAGCTGCTATCTCTCTCTCTCTCTCTCTCTCTCTCTCTCTCTCTCTCTCTCTCTCTCTCTCTCTCTCTCTCTCTAAATATATATAATTACATGTGTATATGTATTCTAATTTCACTCTTGGGCGCAAATGAAAATTTCCTGTGTGGGAGTGTTGTGCATCATTTCTCACACTTTGTGCGTCTTTAGATTTATGGTGCAGAAACTGTTTTCACTTGTGGATCAGACTTCTGTGCCAGACAACCCAGATTCCTTGCAAAATCATGAAGTCCTACTCCCTGGTCACTTGATTACAATATATCTCAAGGTAGAAACTAGAAAGTTGAACTTCTGTTTTTAATAGATTACTTTGTGTGTGTGTGTGTGTGTGGAAGTTTGTATAATGGTAACTCTTGTGGAAAACAAAAATGTTTTGATGTCTAGTAAGTGCACCACAGTGTCAAGGTTTTCTGCTATTCTGCATATAACAGTAATGCCTGAAGAATTTTATGTTCTAAAGCTTGTCTAGGGTGCCAGGATAAGTATTTACTTAGAAGAGTAGTATGTCTCTGAACAGCATCTGTAAATATAGCATGTAATAATGCAGCGGTTGGTTGTAGAATAGAAATATTTTCGTGGCTAAGGCTAATGTATTCCCTGCTAATTAACTTGCAACTGAGCCATGACCAAAACTTCAAAGGGGTCTATTCAGTCATTTGATATCCTTAAGTTGTTGACCACTTGTTTTTACTCAATTGTGAGATAGAGATTCATGCTTTTGTTTGGATCTTACTGATATTTGGTGTTCATGGCTATGGAACATAACTGAGAATATGTTACCCTAACCTCTTATTGCATAGTGAATGAATACAACTACATGGTACAGAAATAGTGAATATCACATTTCTATGAACAATTTCTTCCGTAGCTGTTTGATGTTGTAAAGCCCTTCTTGGTTTGTCTCCTTTGTGTTTTCTTTCAACTGGAGGGTAGGTTTTCTAGCACCATTATCCCAATAAACATTCATTTCGGAGCAAATTAACTTATATTTTAATTCCCTTATCTGATTATCGTAGAGTACAATTTCTACGCATTTGAGTTCAGCGTTGTGTTCACGTAGTGTTTATCATGGTTTCTAGGAAAAACTAGAAGAGTGGTTGCAAAGGACGAAAAAGCTTATTGAAGATGAGATCAACAAAAACAAGGACTATGAGTTTGGCAACGGTATTAATTTTTTAAATTAAATCATTGAATTATTCCTCTTGTCCCCTCTCTTTTTAGCTGTGGCCCTAATCAGATACTTGCATTCTTTTTCTCTCATGTATTGACACTTCCATCCTGATAATGCAGTAGCTAGAGTAAAGAAGCTTATGGATAAAAATCCTGCAAAGCAGATCAGTTTAGCTGTTGAAAATATGTTGGAAACTGGAAGACTTAATACCCCAATCTGGTCTAGATTTGCAGCAGGTATGGCTTATTGGTTATGCTTGAACTTTTTCATGTCATAAATTTTGTAGGAAGAGGTTTGCTATTCACAAGCGAAACTTGCCCAGAACGTGGCCGCTTCTTTATATATGAATCTTATCTCATATGTGATATTCAAGTTTACAAGTAGGCTATCTTTATAATTATTTGGATGCTTGCTTATGATTTTTATGTGCTTTACATATATTTTTAGAGGGCAGGCTTGACGGTTCAGTCAGAGAGGCTTAACTATTTACGTTTCTTATCTCATTTTCGTGCTGTTCATCGAGGGGCATCATTCGCTGGACTGCGCACCACAAGTGTGCGGAAATTGCCCTGTGCATACACCTGATGGAGAACCATGTGGCTTGTTGAATCATATGACTAACACTTGTAGTAAGTACATGTTGTGCCATTCTTTTTAATTTAATTTTTTTCCGGGATGCATTTGTTTTTCCCTTATATTTGGGGACCTCCGTAATATGGTTTGGATTACAGAAACTATTTTTTCCATGGATTCTAAAGAATTATAAGACAAATATACAATACAACTTTTGGCGAAGCATAATAATAATTGAACTTCTAACTAAAGGTAAAGTAAAACTCTAAAATACCTTGATAACAAAATAAAACTCTAAGGCCTCGATTGTTAAAAAGGATTGGTTTGGGTAGCACTATTCACTACATTGAAGGCATTTTGGAGGAAGAAATAGATGATAATTTCCTTATTTTGTCCACGATGAGGTTACTCATGAACAAAAGTTGTCCCTTTTAGTCCTATTTTTTTTGGGGGGATTAGTAGTGTTGATGCACAAAATCAGTGAGGACTTTGGTACAACAGAAAGTGTCAGGTTTTGTGACCTTCGCTTGGTTGTTTCGGTCACTAGTGAGGATAAGTATGTAAATGAATAGAGACAGAGAAGCAAACACAAGATATACGTGGTTCACCCAGATTGGCTACGTCCACGGAGTAGAGGAGTTCTCATTCATTGTGAAGGGTTTACACAAATACATAGGTTCAAGCTCTCCTTTTGTGAGTTCTAGTGAATAGTTTAGTACAAAATGACATTAGAGATTATTGTGGGAGAATGATCCCTATTTATAGAAGAGAGTTTCTAGTTTTGTTCTGACATTGACACGTGTCGCGCTGTGATTGGCTTCTGATGTCGACACGTGTCGCATTGTGATTGGCCTCCTGGTTGAAGGGAAGCTCTTCTGGGTCCTTGACGGTATAACGTTGACCGGTACTCAGTAGTTTCGGGATTGGTCAAGTATGGTACAAACAGTGCTCCCTTAAGTTCCCGAGTGAGGGAAGCTCCTCGGTTGGGGACTTGCAAGATCCAAGCCGCTGAGTAATCACGAAACTTCTAAGTACCGAGGTGTGGTATCGTCTTCACTTGCCTTATCTTTCTCATAGGTAGATGTGGCATCTTCTCTGGAAGTACGCTTCCTCCATTCAGGGGTGGTGTCTTTAACCGGTGGAGATGCACAAGGTAATGTATCATTTTCACTTGAAGCTTACTTGTAGTTTTAGGCTTGGTCAAACGCGATACAAACCATGTAGTAGGAGTCCCCCAAGTCGCCGAGCTAAGAGATCTGTCGAAAGAGGTGGCAGACAAGGTAAGCAATTAGAGCTCCAAGCAATCAGTCCTAGATCAGATATGTGATTTCGAGTTCCGGCTGATTGTTCTCATTCTCCCTATCTTGCAGGCAGCATGAAGGATAAAGGGAAGAAAAATGAGAAGAGATGATATGAAATACTTTTGCTTTTGAAGAAGTAACTTTCCACAGGTTTATTCTTGAACTGGATTTGATTCAGGGTGGTGGACACTTGATCTTGAATCGGGCTTGTGATATCTTCAAGACCGTTGGTAGCTTGATCTTTAAGGATTTGATTCAAGAGTGGTGAATCGGCACGTGCAGTTCACGACGCCTTAGTGAGTCGACTCAAGAATTTGAGGGTCAAAACAAGTCCATCAAATCTAGAGTATGATCAACCCTGATGATATGGGATACTCTTGCTGTTAACAGAATTGTGAATGTGGTATGGAAAGGTGTCGTGCTGTAGTGATCTGTTTCAGCTCATCGTTGAACCTTCTGCTTCAATCTTTTGCATGGCAGAAGTGGTGTGCAACCTTTGCATTTAAATGGTCATTCAGAACATTCATTCATAGTGACTCATCCACGCTTGGCAGCTTCAGTGTAAAGAGCCAATATCTGATCAACTGTCATGAGGTATTTGCCGGAGGAATTCATGACCTTGATAGCAGTTGAGGATGAGTACTCGAGAGCAATGCTAAGTAAGCAACCAGGCAAAGGTCCCAGGCAGTCAGTTCCAGATTGGAGGTTTGATTTCAGGTTCCGACTGACTGCTCTCTTTCTCCTTGTCCTGCAGGTGTGGACAAGGACAAAGACAAGGACATGGAGAAATCATGATATGGGATACTCTTGTTTTTGACCCTGGTGATATGAGATACTCTTGTTCTTGGTGTGGCTTATTTGCTGAAGTATTATCGGGGGGAAATAAAGCTGAGTATTTCGAGAGGTTATGTTGAGAGTGCATTCTCAAATGCGAGAAAGAGTTGAGCATTTTTGCAGGTTTGCCTGTCTGTGGAGGAGGGAGATCGACATATATAGGGATTTCCCAATAGCAAGTAGTAATGCTATTCCTTTATCCTTCTTGGTCACAGCAATGTAGTGGGAGCTGCCAGCTTCACGTGTTTTAACTTTGTCAGCGCACTTTGAAAAAGTGGTATGTGGTATCTGGAAAGCTGATGTTGCGTGTGAAGATTACAGACAAGCTTTATCTAAGGAAATCTGGCTCTCGAAGTTCTGAGAGTTGTGCCTCTTCGGTTTTCGAACAAGCAATCCCATCGGGGATCTGGCTCTTGAGATTCGGAAAATGGTGCCGCTTCGGTTTTTAAGAAAGTATGTTGGGAGTCTGGCTCTCGAGATTCGAAGAGCGGCGCCATTTCGGTTTTTGAGAAAGTATTTATGTTGGAAGTCTTTTCTCGAATGTGAGTAAAGGTTGGACGTTCTTGCCAGTCTGTCTTGCCACGGAACACGGAGGTCGACACACATAGGGACTTTCCAGTTGTCAAGCAGTGGTGCTGTTCCTTTACCCTTGTGGGTAATAGTAGGGTAGCTGGAACTTCGAAATTCTCATGCCTAAACTTTGTCAGAGATCTTTGGCAAAGTTATATGTGGTACCCGAGGAGTTGATGTTGAGTGTAGAGAGTGGTGCCTCTTCGGAATCCGGAGAGTAATGATTCTTTGATTTTTGAACCAACGACCCTGTTGCCTTTCGTTTTATAAGGGCACCAATTGTGTGTAAGAAGTACATTCAGAGAGTTATTGCTTATAGGAATTTTCCCCTTACTTCAGAGATTTATTGCACCTCATTCTCCTTCATCATTTCTGAGAATGTCTGGCCCATCCGACCGTCGTTTTGACTTGAACTTTGGTGATGAGGCATGGATGCCTTCTCAAGACAACATATGGCGCCCCTCTTTCTTATCCCCTACTGGTCCTCTTACCGTTGGGGACTCCGTGATGAAGAATGATATGACCGCTACGGTGGTGGCCAGGAACATTCTCACTCCCAAAGATAACAGACTACTTTCCAAACGGTCTGATGAGTTGGCTGTTAAGGATTCTCTGGCTCTCAGTGTTCAATGTGCAGGTTCTGTGTCTAATATGGCCCAACGCCTATTTGCTAGAACCCGCCAAGTTGAATCATTGGCGGCTGAAGTGATAAGTCTCAAACAGGAGATTAGAGGGCTCAAGCATGAGAATAAATAGTTGCACAGGCTCGCGCATGACTATGCTACAAATATGAAGATGAAGCTTGACCAGATGCAGGAATCTGATGGTCAGGCTTTACTTGATCATCAAAGGTTTGTAGGTTTGTTCCAAAGGCATTTATTGCCTTCGTCTTCTGGGGCTGTACCGCATAATGAAGCTCCAAATGATCAACCTCCAATACCTCCTCCTTCTGGGGTTCTGTCCAGTACTGAGGCTCCGGATAACCACCCTCCGGTGCTTTCTCCTTCTGGGGCTCTACCGAATGCTGAGACTTCCCCTAAGCAACCTTTGTGAAGGCTCCTTCTTGTTTGTTTATTTTGACTCATGTATATGTACATATTTGTAGCTTATCGAAAATATTAATAAATAAGTTTTGCTTCATTTCAACGTATTATGTTAAATACACCAAAGCCTTCTTCAGAAAGTTCTCTGAATTTTTTCTTTTGTTGAAACTTGTATTGTTGAAGCTTTGTGAGTGAAGTATGTAGTTTGAGGTAGTGTTCCCTTAATTTCCCGAGTGAGGAAAACTTCTCGGTTGGAGACTTGAAAAATCCAAGTCACTGAGTGGTTGTGAGACTTCCGAGTATCAAGGTGCAATAGCATATGGTGGGAGTCCCCCAAGTCTTCAGGCGAGGAGAGTTGCCGAATGAGGTGTCTTGCTTGCTACTAATTTGTCAAAGTAACGAAGCCTTGTTTTAATGTCACACCTTCATATATGCCTTATCCAAAAATATTTCAAGCTGGTTTTAGCTTTGCGAGGTCCCAAAATTTTTGTGTAGCCCAAAACTGCTCATTTGTTTTCAAGCCCACGAAAAGAGGGGATCCAGTGCCTTTGTTCATTTTTTATTTGGTTGGCAAGCCCAAAGAGGAGAAGAGGTATGTGCCTACTCCCCTTTATTTATTGTATTTTTTTTTTTTGTGAAGCCCAATGCTTTCTTGCTTCATGTCGGGAGGTAGAGAAATAATAACAATAAGACTCAAAGTCTCATCCCTTTGCCTGTGTTTTCTTCCCCATTTCCCTAGACTGTTCTCAATATGGCACTGTTCATTTATTCGTTTTGTCCGTCACTTTTTGTGGCCTTTAGCTTTTCTTTTGCTTTGCCTTTTCCTTTCTTTGTTGGAAAGGTTTTCATTTCCACTAAAAATCTGGATTATTCCAAAGCCATGTTGAAGGAAATATGGGTGTTGGAGCCAAGGAAGTGAAGGAGGGAGTTAACGTAGAGGGAGCGGTAGCTCTACAATATAACACCATTCTTTGTAGCTCAAATCGCAAGGTTGTCTTCATGAAAATTGTTCCTTAGCTTGTGAAATACAACATATCCAAATTTGAGATCCATCGGAGTAGTACAACTCCAGATACTCAGGTATGATGAGTGACTATTCATCATTTTTCTGTTAACCCGTCAGACTGATTATGAGCTTCGAAACATCATGTTCTCTTGTTTAGATCAACATACTTTCTTCATTGAAGTTTTTCCTCACCTTGTGAACTACAACATATCCAAATTTGAGATCCGTCGGAGCAGTAAAAATTCAGAAAGTCAGGTATGATGAGTAGCTGTTCATCATTTTTCTGTTAACCCGTCAAACTT